AGGCACGCAGGGCTGGTGCTCGCCCAGCGTGGGTTGGGGAAGTGCAGTGCAATGAGTTGCGAGTCTTTAGGGAACAAGGGGAACCTCGGTTCAAATGCTCGGTCAACCACGAAGCTCTTTTCCTAGCCTGGGCCAGACATTCTCAGAGTCACCTGCTATTTATTTATGGATCTGTTGGTTTGACTTACCTTCCGTATTTCAAGTCCTATTTGGATTCTAAGCGAATTACAGTAAAATAATACATAACCAAGAAATATAGAATAAAACACGATGTCGCAAGCCATTAATAAGCAACAAAACAAAGATATACAAGAGGGCACAACAATATGGAATGACAATATACACAGGGTTGTTGTGAGAATGAAATGGAAGGGACAGTGAAAAACCTTGTCTATTGACTTGAGCTATGCGAAGGTGGAGAAAGGTAGAAATAGTGATATTATCCTACCATAATAAATAGCCATAGGATAAGAAAATAGAAGAAGGAAGGGTATCTGACAGATACAGAGTGAGAAAGCCAAGGTGTCAACTTTGGATTAAAAATCTTGTATTTGGGACATTGCCTGGTCATTTGACTTTTTTAGTAACTGTTTTAGTTATTTGAGTTCTTTACCCTAACACTTCAGAAAGAATGCTCAGCCATGTCCATATACATCTATATGCCCATACATGGTTGGTTGCCGGGCATGCAGAACCCAGAGTTCCTCCTCCGCTCCTCCCTCCCTCCCTCCCAAACAAACCGCCCTAAGAACCCATTGGCTATTACAGAATTTGTTTTTCCCTGCAGTGGGTTATTGTATAGTCCAAGCATAGATAACAAGTTCCACTGTGGGATAAGTCCAATGGCAGCCTGATGCTCAGTCAGACCCTTTCCCTAACCCTTTCCTCTCTTCCCAAGGTCAGCCAGGCCGCTGCCCCAGTGCCCGAGCAGCAGGTGGGGGAGAATGCAAACCGAGGTCGCTCTGGGAGGGTGAAAAATACACCACTGCAGTGCTGCCTTTCATTATATATTGTGGCATGGCTTGCTCTCTGCTAAAGTGGTTGGTGCCCTTTATCTGGAGACACTTTTTATCATGAGTTCAAAGCAAAAGGCATAGAAATTCTCATTTTTCATTTGGCAGTTTGGCATAAGACTACATCTGTACACAATTCTAATCTGTTGTGAAAGCACTTCACCATTTTCATACAGCGAGGGGAGTCAAGGGACTTCCTATGCATGAAGTCTGTGCATGTGTGATGGAGAATGAAAGAAAGCAAGAATGACAAGTAGAGAAAAATACCTAGAAAAGAGTAAGTGAAGGAAAAAATACTCCAAAAGGGGACAGTGGAGAGAAATTAGAGGAAAAGAATGCTTTACAATGGGGACTACAAAATAACTGTTAACAACAATTTTTGATAGAATTTGTAATATTTTCCGTGCTGCTTCTACGACTGTGACAGAATCAGCATTAACAACTTAAGCACTGTCTGTGTTACCTAGGTTTGACTCAGCAAAAAGTTATCTGAGAAGCTTATGCCTATCCTTGTAAGAGAACTTGAAGGTGGAATACAGTGAATCTATACTGGGCAAGGTACACAGGTTTTGTCTGCGAAGTAAGTGCAGCTCCTGGAACCATTTATTCATTAAGAGTATCATTCATTAAGAGTAACAATTTATCTCATTATCTAGTCCAGAAAAGCTACAATATGCCACAAGGTTCCTGTTGTTGCTGCCATGAACTAACAGCTCTCCCTCTAGAAACTTGTATGACCTGCGTGTGTTTATGCAGAAGGTGTGTACCCCAAGGTGAGCCAATGTAGGATGGAGCCGAAATATGATTTAACCACAATTAGCAATGATGGAAGAAAGAAAGGTCAGACTGTTTTAATCCACATGTTGGTTGTGGCAATGGTACTAGCAACAAAGAAGGAGGGACAGGAAACTGCCAGCCTCAGCTTTTTCTCAGTGGATTCTTTTTCCCAGAAAATCTCTCAGGAAGTTCTGTTGTTTAAAATATGCTTTGATTACATTGCTACATTCCTATTCATGTTGTCAATTGTATGCTGTATACATGATATGAGTTCCCAAATTTAGGGCAAGCTACACATCCAGATCAATAAATACTATTTTGGAATAATTTATTATGGCACCAGCTTTCATGTTGCCACCAGGTTCAGGACAGTTCATACTACTGATTACATCTGGGTGGAAACAAAATTAATTGTAAGCGATCCCGAGATGAGATTGGTAAAGCTTTAAATAAATAAATAAATAAATAAATAAATAAAATGGGACTGGCAACTTAGTGGTGCAATGTCAGGTGCTCTTGTTCATGGCTCCAACCGCAGTGCCCTTTCTGGAATAGGCCACTCCATTCACCAAGTCCCTGCTTTTCGGCCACCCTACCCCACTGCCACAACCAGCCAGCACTGAGCAGCCACCAAATATGTCCAATTCCCATTGGAGTGGAGGGTTACACTTTTTTCATGTTTCTGCAAATTTTGCAGTTCTTCGAAGCCTACTGATTCCTCTTTTCTTGTGTATGGATGGTGAAGGTTTTGCCTACATTAAAAATCCACACTCAGAATGAGTTGTTCAGGATCCGTGTATAGAAAAGCTTCATAGGAACTATAGAAGAGAGACATGCAAAGAACTAGCTCAGTCTTCTATGCACATATTTCTTGTTACTCAAAATGGTATTCAGCCCTTTTCTGTAAGAATAATCTCTTATTTTATAATATCTTTCTTATAATCTCTTTCCGACAGGAGACTGGGAATGAAAGCTAAATATGACAGAAGCAAACTAAACAAAAGTAAACCTTATTAACAGCGCGGGGGCCTGCATACTCCAACATAAAAAAGAAGGAAAATGCAATTTATGTCACTGCTAAATGCCTTCTGTAAAATTTGCAAAAAGTACTGCCTTTTGTCACTATTTCCCAAACATTCTGCCCTTTTCCTGGAGCTTCTGCTAATAGATAAGCTAAACCCAGATGGCAAGTAGGAAAATACAACATTATTTATTTATGGACTTATTGTTTGCTTCCTCAGCCCAAAGACCTTCTGAGTGGATATTGTTTTATTGTTTAAAAGACTAAGGTGGTCCTAACAAACAAACAAATACCCACAGAAAATCAGTGCATGCAGAATAAAATACTTTCCTCTTAGCGAATGGAAAGTTTAAAGAAATTCCTGGTTTTTCTGTACAGAAAGGCAAAGCAAACCACTGAAAACAGAATGTCTGAATTCAAAGTGAAAATGAGACTGATAAATTCTGTTATTTTGAAAATGTACTAGTTTGGAGATGAACTCTGAAGCAGATGCACAACATGATAGCTTAAAAATAAATGAGTAACTCATGTTAAGGCATAAGTCTGAACCACTATTATTATTTTTTTCTGAGATTTTCTCTCATTATCATATGATATTAACACTGCCACAAGTTTAACTGGATATTGTGACTCAGCCGGTTAAGAACACAGAATCACCCTAAGTTCTGTTGATTCCTCCACACTGAAAGCCAGTCTACCTCCGAATTCTCACTTTAGACAAAAACTGATGGTGCAAGAATACAAAAGTTGTACAGCAAATTATGTTTGTAATTCTGGAAGCTACCCAGAACTCTTCTTCAGATTGAGATTTCCCACAATGGAACTCTTCCATTCAACATCATCTTCACCCAGCTCTTCTGTCCCTAACACTGTATTTAGAATAAACATTGTAAAAAGCACTGGCTTTATCAATCCAGCATTCAAAATGTGAATACACATCAGGAGAGAGTGTGGCAGCTTAGCTACTTCACAGGTGTTGCTTATCCCTATGTCATGTGACTGATTTACATTCATGTGAAACTAGCAGCTGATGGAGCTAGAGCAACAGCAACTACATTCTCTGCAAGTTCTCTTGTGCTTCATCTCAAGATAGTTCCAGACAACAGATTCCAGGACGTTAACATAATCCCTTCCTTTCTCTCCATCCTGCCCACCTTTGTTGAACATAGAACCAGAAGAAGAATTCACGGAACTCAAGCATTCATTTAAAGCTTCATCACCTTTAGATTGGTCCCAACAAAAAGCTGGGCCTTCCTGGAGGCTTAGTCTATACTAAAATTACACAGAAATCCATGTGTACCTTCCTTTCACATTCCTTAAGGCACATATGGTTTCTAACAATGGATAAAATCCTATTTAAGCCCTACTTAGAGTTGAAAGGCATGGAACATACGTTAGTCATTTTAGCTACTTTAAGTACGGTTTATGTTGGATTTTACCCAATGTTAGCATGGCATGTTAGCACTGTGGATTTACAAGTTCTGCTATGGTCTAAAAATGAACTAAATGAAGCCCTGTTCCACAAACTGAATTTTTGTCTGCAGTATTCTGAAGAGGTTCTGAAGAATTATTTCTTATGCTGAGTCATACAGTTTGATGCACATTTCCACAAAACTTCTGCTTTCTCATTAATTCTGGGAAGCGTCTCACAATAGTCTGCCATAGGGTAGACCCACTGCAACTGAAGGACATGGATTAGTTGCAACGAACTGAAATCTCACTCGTTTCATTGGGCATACACTGAGCAGGATTAACACGTGCCACTACCCTCTGGCTGTTTCCCACGCCGATTTTCCAGAAGGGAAACTGAGGTTTGCCCAGGGGAGAATCCCAGCGGCAGGGATACAACAAAGCCCCCGCAACGCGCGGTGCTTGAGTTTCACAGCCACAGCCGTCCTGGTTTCCGCGGTATGCCATTCAAAGCTGCCAGCACGTCGAAGAGAAGCTGCGTTAGGCGCGGCGGCGCTTTCCGCCGGGCGCCTGACGGCCTTTTGTGCGGGAAGTGGGGGGGAGGGCTCTGGGGAGGGAAACAGTATCCGTGTCGCAGCCATCCGGGCAGGCGGAGCGACGAAGCGGCGTGTTGGTATACAAAGAAGCGGCTCCACGTTGCCGGTGGAAACCTCGCCCTGCCCTCCGTGACGTCGCGCATTCCGCCCTCAAAAGCGGAGGCATCGCCGGGCGCTCGCTAGACCAGACGCGCCGTTGCGCAGAGCTCCCTTGTCCTGCGCCGCACCGCCTCTTACCTCGCGCTCCTCCTGCGTGTGTCTTGTTTACCTTAATTGAACCGGAGAACCGTAAATTATTGTTTTCTAACCTCTTTTGTACAAAGGGAAAAGGAAACCCCGAGATTGTTTCTATTTTCTTTGGTTTGGTTCTTCCCACGGAGCCTTTTCCACTGCGTAACTATCCTACGGATTTTTGGAGGGGAAGGTTTCCTTGAAGACGCAAATTCGATCGTGGCGAGAAACCTCGTGATTCCCCCCAAAAAGGGAAGAAGTCTTGGCCGCGCCAGAGCATCCCGATTTTAAGCTTCGTCGCGCCAGGTAAGCAGCTCCGTTGGGATGCGCCTAGGGTTTTCGGGGCGTGGGATTTCGGGGGTGGATTTCATTCGATTTGGGCAAAGGGGGTTCTCGATGGGAGACTCCGCTTAGATGCCCGGTGAAACAAGAACGTGCTTCAATTAAAAGCACACACGCACGCTGCCGCCGGAAAACGGGCAGACGTGATGCAGTCTGGTGGCTGATTTGTATTTTTCCATTTTAAAATGCGGAGAGCCCCCCCCTCCTTTTTTTTTTTTTTTGGTTCGGGTGGGTTCAGTCAGAAGGAATGGACTGGATTGGGAAGGATGGAGTAGGCAAAGGTTTGGGAAGGATGGAGGAGGAACTCGTGGCTGAGGTACAGAATAAGAATGTGACAATCTACGGACTAGGTTGCATCACGTTCAGTTCCCGGTAAGAAGAGGTGGAAGGGGTGGAGTTGGTTCGCTTCCAACTAACAGACAATCGCGCTCGCGCGTGTGTGTGTGTGTTCGCGCCTGTGCCGTAGTCCCAGGAAAGTCCGTTTTCGTGGACCTCGCCAGTCTTCATCCCTGACTTTTCTCAATTCAAGGATTAGCCTCCCCGTGTTTTTTCAGCTCGTCTGGATGCGACCCGAAAAAGCGGGCACTGGGGCGGTGGATGTGCGCTCGAGGGATCCGTGGATGGGCAGAACACGTGTCTTCTGCGCCCCCCGGCCTTTCCCACGCAGATCTGCCTCCCCCCTCGCTGCGCCCCCCCGCCCGCCCGCCCAGCAGCGTGGGCTCTCGCGCTGCAGCTGGAGATTATCTTTGTTCTGCTCTCTTGTACTTTTCCTCCCCGGTGCCTCTCCATTCCCCCCTCCCTTCCGTGCTGGTACTTTTCCACTCTCCTGGCTGCGATGAATAAGCGATGGTGAACAGAACGGGAAGCGGCTGCTCACGTGACCCGGTTCGGGAGACTACTGCAGTATTGACGTTTTCTTTTTTTACCTTCACAGACAAGGCAAGTCCGGCAGCCAAGGACAAAAGATCAAAAGGGAGCCAGGCTGCTGCCGCTAGCCCAAATAAGCAACCTGCCTGCTTAATCTTGGTACCGAAGAAGGCATCCTGGATCCCAGCATGACCAAAGCTGAAATGGGCAAGCTCAACACGACTCCCGACGAGGACAGCAGCAGCTACAGCTCCAACAGCAACGACTTCAGCTACTCCTACCCAACCAAACCAGCTGCTATAAAGAGGTCAGCGGGGTTCCTCTGCATTGCTTTTATTTCTAGAGCATCATGGTCTTGGGTAGATGTGGACTCCAGCCTTAATTTCTGATCTTAAAAAATGCTTAAGAGTGGATAATGCCTTAATGTTTCCTTACATAATAAACGGAAAAGAAAGCACATGTTTTCCAATCTTTCTGTTTGGCTCCTAAAAGATAAACACATGTATTTGGGAATATGCAATAGCAATTAGTGTAATCTATATTCAAATTAAAACCTGTTTTCAACAGCTTCTTTTATGTGGGAAATCAATGGTGATACTTAAAGTTGCTGTTTTTCCCTGCTTTCACAGCCATTATGCAGATATGGATCCAGAAAACCAAAACTTTTTACTTGAATCCAATCCTGGGAAGAAGAAATATGAAACGGAATATGTAAGCATCTATCAGTAATCTTTTTAACATAAGCACACAAATGAAGGCAGTCTTTATGTGGATTAAGTTATTCCCAAATAACTGATCATAAGCAGTGATTAACCAACCCCACCTCTTATTCTCAGCATCCAGGTACTACTTCCTTTGGGATGTCAGTGTTTAATCTGAGCAACGCCATCGTGGGCAGTGGCATTCTAGGACTTTCCTATGCCATGGCAAATACTGGGATTGCCCTCTTTGTGTAAGTATTAGAATGCATTAAAATTGTACTATTATGTTCTTGCTGCATGTTGATTCTGAATATGTTGGCAGTATCAGATTTAAACATAATCAGGCCTAAATTGGAGCAGTTGTTTACAGAAGGAAAATTAGAGTGCAGTGGTTAGGACTTGGACAGAACAGGATGCATGCCATCTGAAAGGAAGGATCCAAGAAAAATAAAGCTTCTCTGAAACCCATAGACTTTAAAAAAGGAGACATCAGCATATGTTTACACCCACTGAAATCAATAAGCTAGCTGAAATCATATGGGACTTGAAAATGCTTAATTTTGGCTAGATCGTAATGCATTGGTATGTTTCTATGTAGTCGATGTAGCTTAAGGCAGGGGAGTCAGCATTTGTATTAACTTTATGCAATCTGGGGAAGACATCTGCAGTGGTGTAATTCTGTCTTCAGGCAATTCATGTTATTGCCATTCGGAAATTAGCCCTTCCCACACATCACCATTTTTTTCCAGCTAGTGAGAAAGAGGAGGCTTCCCCACACTCCCATGCCCTGATTCTTCGTCTCTAATGAGTGGCAACTAGGCTTGGCTGCAATTCCATAATCTGATGTGCAGCCTCCACCTTTCTGTCCCTGGCAGCAGAGAGCACTTGTCGATTTCAGTGCTTATTTTTTTAATTACTTCTTACTGCAGCATTAGTATTCACACCACTGCACCTTTTAGGCTAGTGCTTTGGGATTAGTGATGCAGAGAACACAAATGAGATTTCTAGCTGGTTCATCAGCACGAAAGGACAAGGAGACGCTTTCTTTGTATGACATATATATTCCTTTAGGGGGCAGTATACTGAGGAGTGATACCCTTGAAAAAGCAAAGCCAGGATGAGCATGGCAGTTTCTATCCCAGCGCAATCCTTTATCAGAGATGTGAAACAGTTCCAAGTGCTAAAATAGTATAGCTATTAATTGTTTCCAAACAAATACTTCAATCCAGGGAGGAAAGGTTACCAAGCTTTACAAACTTGTACACAGATTTTGTATGATTTTATGTAAAAAATTACTTGGGGACTAAAATAATATTAGGCTAAATTAAGGTCTTTTTGTGATTCCAAACCCACTTTTCTGCATTGTCAGAAATCAGTTTTATAAAACAAATTCAAGTTGATTTAATAGTGTTTTTCTTCCGCATACATAAACCAACAGTGGGAGAAACTCAAAAGCACTTATTTGGAGCAAGCTCCATGGACAGTTAAGTGTCCCATGTGAAACAAGGGTGTGTAACTCAAGGATGCATATTCTTTAGCTGGAGTTGGATTAAAATATTAACATTCAATCCCGTATGGCTGCTTGCAGCTTTCTGAGCTCCAAAGAATGAAATTTCCAGTGTAGGACACAAGAAGCATGGAGGTATAATTCATCTCCATGCTGCTCCTGTCCGCAAAAGACTTGGATGGCCAGTTTTAGCCATTTTAAGTCTTTTGTGCCAGAGAACAAAGACGAGAGGCCGAGGCACTGCCAGGCTTTTGGAAGTGGATCCTGCACTTCTAGCCACAGAAATCTCCCATGCCTCTGGCTTCAGGGTCAGTCTTCATTTCAGTGAGTCCATTATAATAGGACTCATACTGTATTTCATCCTACATTCTTTTGATGGTGGCCCGCTTGATATATTTTAAGCACACCTGTATGTTTAATGTACTTAAACTTCCCTTCTGTCTTCTCAGGTTTCCTAAAATGACTCACTGATGGTCACTCTGGGATAGCCCAACATGCAGTATGCTGGTAATGTTACTGCTGCCACCAAAACCAAATGAAGTGTGAAACACATCTGGGTGTATGGCATTTATTCAATTTTTGTTAATTCTATCAATAAGCAAATTGGTGCATATTTGAAAAAATAAGCAAAAGAATGTGCCATACATTTTTTTAAAAAAAAGAACAATAATACTTTGAATTTTTATGTGCCATTTCATGCTCCAAGAAAGTTTTGCAGTGGTTACAATGTCATCAGCATAATTCATGTTACTTGTACATTCGGGAGAAAATGCTCTTACACAAACTCCCATCTTAGGCAGCAGAGGAATTTTTATTGGTGCAAGTGGCTTGTTCACATGATCACCACAGCCTACCTCAGGCAGTAGGAGTTATTTCAGGGCTAAAGCAACATTCAGCCCTACAACAGACTCTGGGCCATCTGATGTTCAGCTCTCAGACAACCTCTTTCACTGCTGCCCAGGTCCAAACAACATGACAATCATAGCAACCCCCTGCCAGGGACTAAATATACAAAATGGCCACCAGCATGTGCCATAATCTATCTTGGATGGACTGTGGTGATTTTGTGAACTGGACCAGTGAGTTTTACACCAGACTCCTAATGCTATCTTTTTCTAAACGAAATTTTCCATGAAAAACATAATTTATCTCAAGGCAAACATTTTAAGTAGTGAAATGGACCTAGTAGACCTTACTTTTGAGTAACTGTGTCTTATGGACATGTTACTTTGTGTAATTCTACTTGAACAAAGTGAGATTTCTGAATAAAGGTACTTATGCAGTGTTAACTGACTATTTTCTTTGAAGGATTCAAAGAAGCAGGTACCTTGTTCAGAAATTTAGGTTTAATTTTTAGTTGCAGATGTTAAGCACATTAATTTAATTGAACATCCTAGTTTACTTTCCCAGGTGTCTGTTGCACATTGTAGAAAATGGTTTCATATAAGTGATTCCATAACAATTGGCATTTAAGTTCATTCAGCTATGAAGGGAAATTAAAAATACGAACAAATTGTATCTACTTAGAACAGTGTGACCTTACAGCAAGTGCTGGATTCTGTCCATTATATGGAAAGAAGTCCAAACTCTTGGATTAATTTCATTATAAGTATTTAAGATCATACATATCTCTTTTAATTAATCAAATTTATATTTACATGGATTCAAATGCCAGCATGTTTTAGATTGTCAGTACTCTTTGGTGCAATCCTAAACCAAGTTTAGACAAAGAAAAGGCACACAACTCTCAGCACATCCCAGTGTACAATTTCTAATTTTTGGAACTGTACCAATGATTAAACTTGTTTTACAGGTACCAATTTTTATGAATATTAAATTAGCAGAAGTGGAATTTTTCTTCCCTTTTCAACCTATTGATGTCTTGCAGAAATATTTGGAAAGAAATGGCAGCTAGATGTTATTTCTCTGAATAGGATAGTTTATGGACTTAATCTATTAAGGGTCTAAACTGCCTTAAATCCTGATAATACAGTATAGATGGTATATCAGTTGGGCCTTCTGTAATCCTTGCTGGAAATTTCTTCTAACCTGACCCATGATAATGATCACCACTTTGTCCATTACATTTATTTGTGCATTCGGTTTGATTATTTACTTTGAGAATGAAACAACCATGCTTAAACCACTGACAGCATAATCTTATATCAGTCTACTCAGAAGTAAATCCCATTGCATTCAGTTAGTACATAGAGGGCTGCATTGTCTTGTAACACTTACAAAGTGTATTGTAACACTTTTTAAATGCCATTGATTTCAGTGAAAGGGATAAGCACATGCTTAAATATTTCCATTGAAATACATGGAAGAAACATGAATATGTTTGCAGGATAAAGCCCCATCTGTTTGATTGTATTTTCTTACTGCACCTTATTTATATACTTCAGTAAAAGTAAAAGCTATGTTTGTGTTTGTTTTTAGAATTCTTCTACTCTTTGTGTCAATATTTTCTTTGTATTCTGTTCACCTCCTGTTGAAGACTGCCAATGAAGGAGGTAGGATAACATCTATTTGTAAATTAGAAATTCACTTTTCCCCATTCACTTTTCTGTAAATTACATATTTGGAACTGTTCTGTTTTCCATTATGATAGGTTCTCTATTATATGAACAACTGGGAATGAAGGCATTTGGCATGGCTGGAAAACTTGCAGCATCTGGATCAATTACAATGCAGAACATTGGAGGTAAGCATTTTCAGGCTCCTATCCTTTTCACTCTGCTCTAAAATAGCTTTCCCCTATATTCTGATGAAACAACTTTATCACACAGTATGTTTCCACTAGCAACCTCAAATAATGCTATGGAACACGTTTTGTGACTCTTGTGTGCCGTGTTTCCTGCTGGTAATGACCTTACAATATTACTTCTCTGCAGCTATGTCCAGTTACCTCTACATAGTGAAATACGAACTTCCATTGGTCATCAAGGCATTCCTGAACATTGAAGAGGATACCGGGTAGGTCTTAGAACTGGGACAGAAGTGCTTCAAGGCAAATACAGGAGCACCAGGGAGTGGGGATAGGTGTAGCAACAGCTGAAGAGCTACCGCAGGATGTATGAGTGATGATGGCCTTAGTCTCTGGTGAATTCAAAGAATTAATTTAAGCTGCAAGCTTGAGCATAATTACTAGGCAGTAAGTCCCACTGAACTTTGACTTGTTTCTGAGTAAACATGTTTAGGATTATGCTGCCTGTCTTCTGAAGCTGGCAACTAGAACTCAGGCTTGCTGACTTCTGTGTAACCTAATTGTGATTGCAAAGCAAGACAGCAAAGCAGAATCACTTGCACCAGAATCTCTTCCCGCGTGACAGCTATAAGCAAATAAATTGATCCAAAGGATGAACATTTAGATCCTTAGCTAGAAAAGGGAATCCGACTGCACCAACTACTTCAGAGTAGATTCAGTGCTCGATTTGTTGTTATGCTATTGCAGTAGAGTACCAGTTAGTCTATTTAAATTGCAGATGTAGTAATCATGCAATGTGTTAACTTGACCATTGTCTTTTATACAGAGAATGGTACATCAATGGTGATTATCTGGTTATACTGGTGTCCTTGGTGCTCATTTTTCCTTTGTCTCTGTTGAAAAATTTAGGTAAGTAAGTATTGATTTTTATGTAAAACTAGGATAAAATACTGTAAAATGATGTCAATGACTGTCATTTCATCCCGGCTTTCTTATGCATACAAAGCTAAATGGCTTAATGGGCTTGCTGAAAGCTCCCAATTGGCAATCTGCACATGCCCGTAGGAACACTTTACATTAATAAATGTGACACATCAAAATAGTAAGCCTGAAATTATTCTGTACACACTTAACCGGGAAGAAATCATGCTGAATTAAGTGGGGCTTACTTATGAGGAGGCATGTGTAGGATTGTTAATCGTTAATTTGTCACATGACTCAAGTTGGGCTAATAATAGAATGGAAATGAAAACCCACATGCTTGATTAAAAGCTTTGCAGTGCATGCCAGTACTGAATTAATGCATTACCAATAAAAATATAAACTCCCACAAATCTTAGTGAATTAGAAACCCACTTTTGAATTGTGCAGGATGTGGTACTGGATCTATCATCTTTCAAATCATCTGCATGGTCTAAATTAAACTTTTTTTAATTCCAGGTTATCTGGGTTACACCAGTGGAATTTCCTTGTTGTGTATGGTCTTCTTTCTTATAGTTGTAAGTATAGCCCTTTCTGTGTACTTTAAATGCTCCAGATGTCTAATTCTGGGGAGATTACAGATGATGTTTCATTAAGGCCAATCATTAGATCTTAAATCAAGTGAAAGTAAAAGGCTGTGCTGTGGTCATTTCTAGGTCATTTGCAAGAAATTTCAGCTTCCTTGCGGATTGCAACATGATTTTCTTAATGCAACTCCAAATGCTACTGTAGCGAATCTGTCAACTGCTGCACCACTTCATGGAACAGAAGTGAATATAACTAGCGATGACATGTGCACACCAAAGTATTTTATCTTCAATTCACAAGTAAGGATCAATATAAGCAAACAGGGCAAAAGAATCTGTATATTCCTATTTGAAATGAGATTGTGACTCTTCATTAACTGTTGAAAATTCTTTTAATTAGAATAGTGTATACCTGCAGTCAGTTTGATGTGTCTTTAATTGTTCTTGAGCTAAATCAAAATATGATTGCAGACTGGAGAGTGTTTTGTCTTGAGCACATAGCTGATTTTAAGAATACGGGCAAGCAAAAGCTATTTAGCAAAAGACTGCGTTTTCAAATTCCACTAGTTTGAAATACAGAGTGCAGCATGGCCTCTGAAATGCTAGAGAAGTCAGGAAGGGCATGATCCAGTCTGGGTGTCTGTAGTTCCCTGAATGGTCCTCCTGCCAAGCAAAACACTTAGATGATTCCAGCTGTACTTGTGTCATGCCTTAGAGTGAGGCAAGGGAGGAGGAAGATGGTGCCTCAAGTCTTGGTGATTCTCCTCTCCTCTCCTTATCACCCAGAATGCCTATTAAATTCTGTCTCTGAGGTCAGCCTTGGAGAAGCAGCCAATAGACTACTTTCTTTACTAGTTGGGAAGCCATGGTAAGCTTGAAATCCCAGCTGCAACCCTGTAACAATATTCTGAGAATATTTCTTAATATCCTTTTCATAAGAATAAGTGGGATAAAAAATCAGTAAATTTGAGTTGTTCAAGAAATTGATTAGCTTCTGCTATGTTGGTGTTATTAAAAATACCCATAAATGTATTTTTATGTTTTTCAGACTGTCTACGCTGTACCAATCCTAACATTTTCCTTTGTCTGTCATCCTGCTATTCTTCCTATTTATGAAGAATTAAAAGGGTAAGACTTCCATACCTTATGTAAGCCATATATTTCATAGAAAGTAAGAAAGGAACGGAAGCATGTATTTCAGAAGTAATAACACATTTATTCCTTTGAAATAGCCGAAGCCGCAGAAGAATGATGAAGGTATCCAATGTTTCATTTTTTGCCATGTTCCTCATGTATCTTCTGGCTGCTCTCTTCGGCTACCTGACATTTTATGGTAAATAGCGTCCCTTCTGTTTCTCAGTTTCTGTTTTTGTACTTAAAACATTTTATGCACAGTTTGGGCACACACAAGCCAACCAAAAGAAAGTACCCTGGCAATATTTTGATTTCAGCAGAGGAAATCTCACCAGGTGTTTAATTCTGCCCATTGAAACCAGTAGGACTTGACAGTGTGTAAGGGCCAATGTAGACATTGCCTTAAATCCATATCTAGCAGCTATATCTTTTTTTCCCATTTTTACTATGGAATATACATATAGTGGGCTGTGCCCTTTTGAATTTTGTAACTACAAATCTAATCTTCAGGTAAAAGCCAGGAGGAGCTTGTTCCCTATTCCTAACACCACTGCATCAAAATATGTCTCATAAAGTTATTGGGATATATTTCTGAGCCACTGATTCTAGAGTGTTCTGACCTGCAGTTTAAAGTATATTGGCAATATGGAGGAGCCCACTGGATTATGCTCAGGGTATAGTTCTGAGCAGAAATGTTTTGGATCATGCTGCAAGAGGAGTTAATTGTGTCATAAATATGGGTGGCAATGGAGTATAACTCTTGAGTTTCATGTTTAAAATGTGTAAATTACTACACATAAAGAAGAGGAGTAATGTTTAGCATGGGTAGGAAAGTTGTAGCGCCTGTTTTGCTGGCCTCTTTGCTTTCTGGCATCCTCCAGTAACTACCCCCTTGTACAAGCCAGAGTAAAACTATGTAACCTGTGATCCTAGTTTCATTGGATAGCTGAGAGGGTTACACGGCTTTGCAGCTTCAGCAATAAACAAAGCAACAGAGATACTGAGCTGTTACAAGTGGTAGTCTAACCTAAAGTCCCATTTTTGTGAGAACGTTAGATAAGGATTGTAAAAAAGGACTATGTATATCAAAGGCTTTTATTGGTACAGTTCAGAATCCAGAATTTGTCATTTATGACTGTTAAACAAAACTGACCATAAACTAATTCCTCTTCCTGACTCTCAGTCCTGCAATACAACATATTCACACAGTTTTAAGCCATGTATGGGGATTTTCCTCTTGTATTGATGTGTATATTAAAAGTAAAAAAAACATTTGGTTGAAATGCCATTTCCTTTGCAGGAAACGTTGAGCCAGAGTTGCTTCATACATATTCTATGGTCCTGGGAACTGACATTCTTCTCCTTATTGTGCGCCTGGCGGTCCTGATGGCAGTAACTCTTACTGTGCCAGTTGTGATCTTTCCAGTAAGTACTTGGGTCAGAGGCAGAGGAGAAATCAAATTATTTCCCTAGTTTTGATATTAGTTTAGAAATCAAGCTAATTTAGAGTGGTATTTTACCTGGTTGTATGGGACGATGTTTTTCGGTACCCTCCTGGAAAACAAACCTTCTTTGAACAACATAGAATAGGGAAGGAATGCCTTGAGCTCTGTGAACGTCTTGTAAGGACTTCACTTAGGATCCAAGTGAGATCCTTGTTCTGTGACAGGCTATGCTGAAGCAAAGGGAAGATAACAATCTGGCAGGAAACAAATCCTTATCCATAAGGGGTAGCCAATTTTAAATATTCATCCCATAAGCCTTTTTCTCTCATTTAAACAAACCATTCTGAGTGTTTTTAAGGAAGGAAATTCCTTTCTGTCCTTAAGGAAATTTTGTGAATTAATGAATGTTTTTTTTCCCCCAGATCCGAACTTCCGTCACACAGTTGTTGTGTGCAAGCAAAGAATTTAGTTGGTTGCGTCATACCATCATTACAGTCGCACTTCTGGTATTCACCAACGTTCTTGTGATCTTTGTTCCTACAATTCGAGATATATTTGGATTCATTGGTAAGGGATCTTCTGTTCTTGTTGTTGGTTTGTTTGTTGATTAAGATTTACAGAATGTCTGAATATTATTATAGAGAACTAATATTCTGATTCATGTTTAATATAGGTGCCTCTGCTGCTGCCATGCTGATCTTTATACTTCCTTCAGCTTTCTACATTAAGCTAGTGAAGAAGGAACCAATGAAATCTGTACAGAAGATTGGGGTGAGTAACAGGAAACGTATTCCTGGTTATACATGTCCACATAACTGATAGAAAACAAATATTTTGAGCTGTTGAGCTAAGAGTTATTAGCATGGTGTTAGATTGACTATTATGCTCACAGCTTGCTTAGGATAGAATTGATATGGATCTCTCCTTTGGAGCTTTCTCAGTCCCATCTTCTGTCTGTTTAGGGAGTCTGCTGGCCATGATTATTTTAGGAATTCTAATTCCTACTATTAATTTGCTCTTCAAATAATCAGGCATCTCAAACCATATTTTTCCATAAGACAGGTTCTGAGATGGTTACATCTTGAATTCTGGCAAGGGAACATTTTCTTTTACAGGAATATACCTGATTGCAATGAATTCAGTGGCTTAATCTGTTATGTGCTCAGTATCTGTTCTGCACTCGCATTGCTTTGCTTGGTTTCTTGCCATTCATGTCCCTTTCCTCAAATTCTTCTGCTGGACTTGTATAACATGGCCGCTCCAACACAGATCTGTGCTCTAGCAGTTTTATATGGCTGAACATTGCACTTCCACAGATCTTGCAGAACCGTCTCATCACAGTTGGACTTTGATCAAATATGAGTCCATCCATGGCATGTTAGCAATATTTCACCTGGAACTGTAGTAAACCTCACAGTCACTTGCTAATAAGTTTCATTCATCAAAAGAAAATTAAAGCAGAAATCTCTTGTAATATCTCTGCCTAATGTCCTGACCTTGAATATGTAACAAGGAAGCAAACACTGCTTAAAATCAGTAAATCATGTCTAAGCGATGGATTTATAACTAGGTGCCATGGATTTATAACTTTAATCGGGCATAACCCAGATCTGAAGAAACTAAAAGCATACGATAACATTCAGGTTTTGATAGTAGCATTTAGCACCGAACAGACACTTCATTATGGTTTCTATCCAAAGGCACAATTCACCCCATGTGTAAAGAAACTGCACATTAAGCTTGAGTTCTCTTTATAGTTTCATGGCTACATCTCCAACTATATGTATCAAAGGTTTGCCTTGGCAATAGGAGCTGCAGCAATGAAAATGCATAGTATGTGCTTTGTCTTAAGTCCTACTTGTTTTAAACAAAACAATTTCTCACTATTTTGGTGAACTCTCTTTTCAGGCTGCTCTTTTCCTGATCAGTGGCATCTTTGTGATGACTGGAAGCATGACGTTGATCATTCTGGACTGGACCAGCAATGCTGCTTCTAACGGTCATTAACTTTGTGTTTTTGGACCCCTGTGTTTGCCCAACCATCCCAGAAAGAACTTCTTACCCATGTTTGCAGTTCTGCTTCCTTTGAAATGCAGATTCTTTGATGCTGGTTCTTCTGATTGTAGAATAGGTGAACTTTCTTTTGTGAAAAAAAGAAACTATTCTGCACAGTGGGAATGGATGCTAACTTCGAACCACCTGAATCTTTGGCTGAGGGAAGTGACTATTTATTCCATTCCAGAGAATGGACAGCTCTCTCTGTAAAATTTTATCAAGCCATGTTTGGCTTTTGTCATTGTTACTTGGGTATTTTTATTATTTACTTGAATGTGCCTAATGGAAACAATTGATGGGAGAAATATGTTCGTTTACAGAAGGGGGCTAAGCTAACCATTGAAAGTGAGAAAGGAAAACACTATTATTTTTGTACCAAAAATTTTATGGACCTCAGAAGCACTATTTTGACTTTAAGAAAATGTTTTGTAAGTTGATCCAAATAAGGGCAGAATGTTTAATCAGTATTCAAAATTCACATGTTTTGCCTGTCCAAAGAGGCATACCCTTAAAATTATATTTTTGGCCATAAGAAATTATTTTTGGAAACCTATTATATGAAAGGTTGACCAATTGGAAAGACTAGATCTGTAACTGAATTCTCTATGTAACTTAATTATGCTAAAACAAATTAAAACCAAACAAATATTTCTGACTAACACTCCAAGTTAATATATCTAATCCAATCAACATAAATCATCATGCTCTATTTCAATTAGGCATTTGATCAAATAGCATGTTTTCAAAAAAGATTTCATACAGTCAAAACAGTTGAATTGTATGTCATGAACACAGCATCCAATTCAATTAGAGCTGTACCCTACTAAGCCCTTTAACATTAAGGAGGGATGTACAGAAGCAGCATTTAGCTAATCACTGATCTTTTAATGATGATGCAATGTTAGCATTTTTCTTCTTGAGGTACTCAATAGTGCAATTAGAGAAAACATTTCTGTCCACCCCAGTCACCCCTTTGATCCATTGTTCTTATTAATCCTTCACACAGAGCTCCCTTACTGCCATCATACGAATTACTGACAATGTTACACATTTTGGCTTTGTTTTACTTTTTGGAATGAGGTCCTATTATGGGTTGCTAACAGTTCAGTATTCACTGGCTGTACAATATTTTTCAGCATCAGGTTTTTATCCGTTTTTGGAGTTTTAATTTATTTTATGTTTCACTCTTGAACAAAAGATACTCCTAATTATGTAACAATACACCGGGTTTTGGTGTTTCTCACAAAATTTCTCTTCGTCAGGCAACTAGGATTCTTAATGCAACTCGTGTTTTTAAAACCTTGACTGACTACACTGTCATCTCATGTGTGTTCATTTTGAAATAGCTCTGTGCTGTTTAAGCCTTAAGTTTGCTTTAAGGGTGGAAAATGCAGGTTGTATACCCTTGTTATTAACAGTATGATTGCTCTCTGTATGCAAAAGGATTACTTTGTATGGGACATAAGGGACTATTCTTTTTCCTTGGCCTTTCTCCCTCTGGTGTACACAGCCAGCAAACCAGGCGTTACTAGGAATGGTGGTTTTGTATACCCCTCCTATGTCCAGCCTGCCTGTCAGAACACAGAAAGGCAGAGTGGGGACAAAGGGATGGTACACAGTTTTGCCATTCCTGGCATTGCCAGACAAGGGCATTCCATGAATTGTGCTGAGTGGGATGTAAGGCAGGAAGGGAATTGTGCCTTCATGGTGATGCATAAAATTGACTCATGGCCCATTTTGTTCCCATGCATGTTCAATGCGTTATTTTAATCCCAGGCTGAAGACATGTACCTGCATCAGAGCGCATTCAGCCTTGCTTCATATAGATGGATGCTGCCAGACAAGGCATTCTAATAACCTAGACGGGCAGAGTGTGGCACCATACAACCCCATGGACGGCTTTTAATGATGCCCGTCTGGCATAATCATTTAGAAGACCACTTTATCTAAAGAAGTAGCAGTTGAGTTGGAGGGATCAAATGATAGCATGTAATTAGCTAACCAAACAAACATTTTCATTTGATTTTAAGTCGAGGCCCATTTTCAGATTTTGGCAGATGTCTGCCATTGTGTCTAGGTTTTTATATCTGCTTATGGATTTAAAAAAAAAATGTTGGTATACTACATGGCAACTGCTAGCCACAGATTCCATTGAAGTCAGTATCAAGGGGAACCTGCCTTCCTGGAAAATGATTCTAATTTTTTGCTTGCCAGTCGTGAATGGCTTGACATTTTGAATCAGAAGTAAAGTCCAGGAAAGGGCAACATTACTTGCTAACAGCCCTGATTATCCTCATTCTCAGAGCAACCAGATAACCCAGCAACTACATTTTTACTTGAGAACTCAAATTTTGTTCTATGCTGAATGAATGCATATGAAGGATGATATCTTACAATTTCAAAAGATCACAGTTATTCAAGCCTTGATTGATAATTAGCTATATCTCAGACCCACCACTGGCTTCAATGGATTAGGGTTTTATTACACCGCTGCAACAGCTTAATGAAAAATGCATTTTCCCTCTTGTACTAGTCTAGTGGTACTCAGTTTAATGCTTTGGATATTCCTTGTTTTGTAGAACAATGCTCAAAACGGGCAGCTCTTCCTCTGTACCTGTTAATGTGTCTTCTTATATAACAGGAGGAGAAAGACTAGTATTGCCCAGAACTTTTGGTATGGGATAGGGAACAACTATAAAGCTCTTGTTCAACACTAAGGAGAAGCTATAGTCTAAAAAGATAGCTTCATTGGTTCACCCATCTTAACAACTGGAAGAGTCACAGATGAAAAAAACGTGATCGTATTTACTGTTGTGCCTCGATAAATTACACTGAATCATTGCTGGGCCAGTGATATCTGGACAGTACACTGTGAATCTCACAGCTTTCTGCCATTTGGTAACTACAACCTTCAGCTGCTTCTGCAGCTGGGTACCACTAGGGCAGCCTTCCCCAACTTGGTGCTCTCCAGATGTGTTAAGACTGCAGTTCCCTTCATTCCCAACCAGCATGGCTGATGCTGGGAATTTGAGCCCAACACCTTTGGAGAGTAGCATGCTGTGGAAGACTGCGCCTCTTTCTGGAGATTTCTAAATACCATGTGAACTAGTAGTTTCAGTATTAATTAAACCACTGTTTGTCACCTCATTTTAAAATTACTGTCTTCCATGTTGTTTCATTCATACAGTGTAACATGTTATTTATAGAAGAGTAACCTGTTGAAGTTGACACCTATTTTTCAGTATTTATGGATAGCCTCTGTATGTAAATTGTGTGTATATATTGTAAGTATATTGTATATATACTTATATCCAGTATAGGTGTATTGTATATAATATAGGTTTGGGATTTTGTGTTTCTGTATATAGGCTTTCACTATATGGCTGTTGGCTAATGCATTATGTCCATGATTCATTCATATTGTATACCCAGGAAAGGTCTATCAGATAGAAGCTTCCAGAGAAACCGTAGGGTTGCCCAGACTGAAATTCTGTGTAATCAGGTTGCACAAAGAGACACTAAAATTGGTTATCCACTAATCTAAGTGAGCCCAAGGCCACATGCTAGTCAACATCTTTTCTTCTATGAACCATACGCCCCACTCCATATCACAAACTGGTAAGAAAACATTTCTCAGTTTCAAAAGCAGTTTGGTATGTGGTGGAAAGGTAGCTGCTGATGCAGAAAAAGCTGCCTAAAGCTCTTTTGGGGTTCATAGAATTAAGTTTATAATACTTGGTAATCTAGGCAATGTGCAGAGAGACTGTAACAAGTGCAAAAGTCCATGACTGCATGGGCTTTGTTGCGTGAACCCAGTTTTCCCCCCACTCAAACAGGGGCTTAAGAATCTCTGTAGCGTGTGGAGCTTCTGACTGGGCACCTCTGTTATTACAAATGTGTACACTGCAATGAATAGTATCTTCGATCCACGACGTTCAGGTTTTCGGAGTACAATTGCCATTGATGTTTTAAGTGATTGATTTTCAAATCAATGTATCAAGCCTTCATGTACAGGCATGATTATTTGTATATATTGTATATGTATATATATAGAGAGATACACACTGTATTGTTAGATCAACAGTTGAACTGCAATTGTTGAAAAAGAGTGCTACACGGTTTCAATGAAACACTGTATGTTTTAACAAACTAAAATAAAGTTATAATCTTAGAGATTGTGCAAGTGTGGCATTTATTCGTGTATAAATAACATGGGCTGTTTTAAAAATGCAACGCCTTCCCAAGATGGCTTACAAAATATAACTAGAGCACCTTCTGATGGAATAAGACTTCCTCCATCAAAAGAAACTTGGAAAAAAGAATCTCTTCTGCCCAGTGCCAGGTTAGGCATTTCTAACCCTTCTAATATACTTTCAGAATGCCAATTAATTTGTAGAGTACACGTTACTATTTGCAATGGTGGTTTAATGAAAATATAATCTACAGACATGTGAGGTGTTAAAATAGCATGAAACTATTTCTGGTATCACTTCTTCAACCACTGTAACTGCTGCATTACACTGGTCCTTATTATAGAAATAAATGCCACAGAATTATTCTAAATAAGAAATCCAACTATATTGGGTATGTTTCAGTGACTTCCCTAGGATATATACCTCTGGAAACTTACAGTTAAAGTTACAGTGACAGTGACAAATAAAGAACCATCTTTTTTACTGTAAAGTTACAGTGACAAATAAAGAACCATCTTATTTTCAAAACATACCAACAATTGCTAATAAAAAAGATGAACGGTACTCAAGAATTAGACCAGGAGAGATGAAGCCCACACATGTGCAGACTCCAAAGAAAAAGTTGGCTTTCTAGTTTGCAGCTATGAAATAATAAAAATGAACCACATCTGGACAATCTTACCCCAACTTTATAAACATAATTATTCTCCTGCACCTAGCTGCAGCCACTTTGCAATTCATACAAGTGGAGAAATGAAGCAGCACTAAGTTCCAAAGAAGCCAGAAATGCTTAAAAGATGGCTGCTATATGCTGGCTTGTTGAGAAACTCTTCTCAATTCATATGACAAACTATACTTGGTTCTCCCCAAACCTCTGCAGGTGAACCAAAATTCTTACATGCGAGTCCATGTATCTTATTCACATTCTGCCTTGTTTATGGTATCAGATCATTCAAAACTGTGATCAGTTTTTTGAAATAAACCAAAAAGGACAACCAAGGATAAAAGTATCAAATAGAACAGGTTACACTTACTAGGCTGCAGGCTCTTTTTAAACTTGTTTTAAACTTTTGTTAAACCACCCATACAGCCTCAGCTATTGGGGGGTATAAAAATGGTAGAAACAAGGAGCACTCCCTTGCCAACCTGCAGTGTATTTGAGCTCTGTTCCTCTTCTCTTTCAAGGGCATTTAGCCTCTTTAACCTTGAGGGTCAGATAAATTTCTCAGAAGACACATTCCAGTGATAGGCAGGACCAACAGCAAAAGGACAATGATAAAAATGCCAAAAATATCAACCTATTTAGCTTAAGGTCTTCTGGCCAGTAACTTAGGTATGAGGTATCTTGATTATTTACAATGAGAGAAAAACATGCAAAATTCATAAAACACCAAGCAACTGATTGGGGAAGAAAGGTGGGGACAGGGAAGGCACTGTGCCCATCTCGGAAACCTGAGGGGGCAGATTGGAACCACAGCGCTTTGGTTTAACAGCCCTGTTCTGTGTACTGTTGCAGCCTATTCATCCACCCATTCAAAGCATGAAAGTAGTGACAAGGCTGGAGACGTATCATCTCTTGTCCCATGTACAATGCCACCTTTCACAGCCAGGCATGGGTCCCCTATTTGATCTGCAAAGCTACGTGGGTGGGTTAGGGGAACCATTTATTTCTCCGGCACTGTCAGCTGTAGAATATATTTCCTTTAAATAAGAGATTATGGAATGTTCTCCCAGGTGAGACCCATCTGGCACAAACATTGTCATATTTGCAAATGCCTGGTTAAGATTTTCCTCTATTTCCTCTATTCTCTATAGATTTCATTTGACTGCATATGATAGAATTCTCTAATGTTTGTGAGGGAGGGCATTATCAGATTCTGCTAGTTTTATTCTTGTTTTAACTGTTTCAGCTATTTTCAATTGTTCTGTGTTAAGGTTGAACATTATATAGAATGTTGTGAATAGCCCAGATAACTTTGGATAATGTAATGCAATGCATTAATGAAATAGGATTTGTGACATCTTTAAGTCTGGGAGAAAACACGTCTCCATGCTCTAAGAAACATCTTTTAGAGGCAAGCCATTCATTCTTTATAGCTGCTTACTTCTTGACCCTTAGCTGAAATGGTAAATCACTTACTTATGATACCAGATAATGATGAAGAGTTTGACATTTTGGACACATCTGTGAATTGGAATGAGGCCACCAGCCAGATGGAGCAGAAAGGCTTTTATGTCACATGTCCCTGATTTACCTCAAATTTGTGTCAGGGGGCTCCAAACTTTTCATGTAGATTCATAGATGTGTACTGCTGGATAGACAGTTGCACTGGTATTAGTTAATTTGTTTAATTAACTGGGATTTCATCTTATAAACCAATGTAGGTCACTTGATGCTAGTTTGAATACTAGGTGCACCTTTAAAAAATTATCCTACTTAACTCAGTAGTTAGATTGCCATGACAGAAAGTAAAATACAGATATTAAAATGTATCATTCCCATCTTCAGTAATTTTAGAGTATCCCCCAGTATAATGGATATGGATAATGAAACCCCCTTCCATGGCAAGAATAAGAAATATTTTCATCAATGATTCTACTGAATCCAAAGCAAATTGTATAGTCACACCACTTTTAGAAACAACATGCCCAATGCATTTCAACAGACAGGGCTTTCCTGAACATCTGTTTGTGAGTCTTGGTTATGCTGCCTGCACTCACTGTTTCTCACACTTCATTTCTCCGTCTGTAAAACAAGGAACTTATGTATGCGTTTTCAGACTTAATGTGAATATAATCCTCCAAAATGGGTGCAGCTAGTTAGAATCTGAAGGCCATTTAACCCCAGCATAAAGAAGAATTTGTATGCACTTATTATTATTACTACAGTGCATTTATATCCTCCCTTTTTCTCTTCTTGGGAGGCTTATAGAAGAACATAAGGAAAGCCATGATGGATCAGACAAGAACTCTGCCTCTCCAGCCTCCCCAGCAACTGGTGTACACAGGCAAGCCACCTCTGATAAAATAGCCAGCCAGGCTGGTAGCCCTTGATAGCCTTCTCCTCCATGAATTTGTCCAACCCCCATTTAAAGCCCACCTGGTGGCCATCACTGCTTCCTGTGGCAGTGCATTCCATAGTTGTAACTAAGAAGCACTTCCTTTTATCCTACCTAAATCTCCCACTAATCAGGCTCATGGGGTGACCCTGGGCTCTAATATTATGGGAGAGGGAGAAAAATGTCTTCATTTCCACTTTCTCTACACTAGGCCAAATTTTAAGCACTTCTATCATCTTTCCCCTTACCTTTTTGAAAAGCTAAACAGTCCCAGTTGTTGTAACCAGTCAAAGCAAGGTGACCCAAAACCATACTTCCTCAATCCAGCACATCCTTTGCACAGGATATGCAGATAAAGATACATAGATATTTACTTAGATCTGTTCTTATTCTCAGTTAAGATCTATTGTTATTTTACTATAAAACAGACAAAGATATACAGATGAACTTCTGTTGCTCACAATAGCTTTCCCATTGACTTCAATGGAGGGGACACCTTTGTGAATACAACATGAGGATGGACTCACATACATTCGCTTTTCTGAAGGATAGATGGGAGCCAATTCACCCTGTGCTCACTTAGAACACATGCAAATACATTCATGGTCACATGCCAAGATGTCTTTTATTGACAAAGGCATTGGTCTTTTGCATATACAGAACTAGAACCTATCTTTCCATGAACAATAAGCAGTATTTTTAAGAGTGCAAGCTACGCAAATTGAGACTAGGAATAAGGTATACAGCTCCAGCCAGCATAGTTACCTCGGTCACGCTAGGAGTTGTAGGCTTCCCCCCACTCCCTTATCTCACCTTGCATAGGATTGCCCCTTAACTTTACATACATCTTTCATTCCTTCATGAAAAAATGCATTATATAACTTGCATTTTATTTTATCATAGTCCCTTTTATTATCGTTTTGGTCTTTCATCTTTCTTTACTATATATAGAAGACATGTATCCTGAATGGAAAATTAATCCTTAAAGAGGATCAAACAAAAATATATTTTAAAGTCCACATTTTTCACTCATTTTAGGCAGTACTTTAGAACTATTTTCTTGTTCATTTCCTGTCAGATTTGTATGATGAATTTGACAGATGCAAAGTCAAAGCACATGTATTCATCATCTTTTAGATTTATGACTCGGATTAGCACTGGGATTTATAGCTAGAGCAGGATCATCTGAACTTCAGATGTTGGTTCCTTTCAAAATCGGAAAGCAAACATTGTTTAAAGTTGAGATTCCATGATGCTTGTTTAAGGGAAAAAAGACTTGAAAAAAGATCTCTCTATCTCTCTCTCTCTCAAACACACACACACACGCACACAGAGCCTTAAAAGAAAATAAAAATAACCCTTCTAAATCAAGCATGCAGACCCTCAACCTATAGGCCAAATCCTGCGTTGAAGTTTCCCTGGAAGGCTTTTCCCCCTTCTCCTGGTTCTATTAACATTCCACTGACAATTAATGGTTTTCTAAAAACCATTTATTCTGAAAACCTCTCATAAGGCTCATACTAAATGCATGAATCCACAGAGAAAGAGAGAGAGAGAGACTCCTTTCACTGAGTACTTCTTTTCCCTGCATTTAATTTCCTCCCCACACCAAAGGTTGAACTTTGGAGGAAGAAAATAAGTACAGAGAAAGTTTAACCTGCACTCCTGGATTTGCATCTCCTGACCCAAAGCACACTCAGACAAGAATGAGAAAAGCTGTTGTGCACAGCTACACCATACAGGATCAGAACATTAAGTTTGGCCTTAGTAACTGGAAACAATAGCTTGAAAATATGCTGGTCTGCTTTTGTATTGGTTCCATTCACTGGCACCACCCACCATGAGGGCCCCATCACCACCCACCCCAGATCTGGATCCCCCCTAATTTATGTTCCCTCAATAATGTTTTTGAAAAATAA